AATAATAGCAATAGAATATGTCAAAGATATTGATTTTTTTGGCGAGATCACGGGTGCGGAACAGATTTTGATCAATTTCGATGATTTTTAATAATTTTTTTTGATCATTTTTGATCAGTTCCGCATCTTTGAGCGAGATTTGACTTGCTTATCACTATCACAGTAAGTGTGTATCAATTTGACACTAAATCTTACAAAACCTTTTTTTAAATTGTTGAAAAAATTCAAATTTGAGTTCAAAATCATCCATCCAACCCACCACCATCGATAATCCTCATTTATATTCATCAATATCATAATAATAATTATTTTTATCACGATTTACATTATTTACATACAAACAACCAAAAAAATATTAAAAATTATTCATTCAGCTCATCAATCAATCGATTCTGAAACGTCAACTCATTCAAAAACCCATCAATTTGCTTTCTTCATATTTACAAAATAATAACTTTTTCGAAATCATTATTTAGGAACATTACAAGAAAGAAAGAAAAATTGAGAGTGAGTTCAAATCGAGAGTGAAATTTACAGTGAGCGAATGAGTTATGATTGCTGTTCCTGTAACTGAATATGCGCGTATGTGGCATGAAATATTGTTGTTCAAATTGTTTGTTTGTACAAACAAAATAATGTTATAAATAAATAACTAATTCATCATAACTTAAACGACGTTGATGGATTGACTTGATGGTGGCTATGTATTTTGTTTGGAATAAAATGATTTACAGATTTTTTTTTTGACATGGATTAAATTTGGCAGGCAATAAAATTTTTTTTGTGGAAAGCAATTTTTTAAAAGATTTTTTTTTAAATCAAATTTTTTTGATCTTCAAAAATTATTTTGTCGACAAAAATTAGCTAGATGTCCCAGCTGATATGGGGGTAGCTAAGGAGGTTTAAGCTGCAATTAAAATTATAACTTAAAATAAATCAATTTTAAAATTGAGAAAAAAAATCCTAGACCCCCCTTTGAGGTCATATTTAAACTTACAAATTATTTTTATTATACACCCCCCACACCCTCCCAAATATTTTCCTTAAAAAGACTGAAATTGCCTCACTAGCAATATTTATATCAGTGTTGTCCAAACAGTGTGTCGCGGCACACTGGTGTGTCGTAGAAAATTTTTGTAAATGACGCGAGCCATATGCTGTTTGCGACTTTGGTAATGGCTCACTCCTAAGGTGTGCCGTGGCTCAAAAAAGTTTGAGCAACACTGATTTATATGATGTATATTATTATTAATAAGATGAATGTTGTGTACATCCATATTTCTAGATTATTACCATACTGCAGAGCAGCAAAAAAGGCAAGCGAAAGCAAGAAGAGGAAAAATATGATAAATTACCATAATTATTCAAACTTGATATTATGTGATTTTACATGATGTGCTGATTACATGCTGAATATATCATCATCATCAACATTTGAGCGCGAATGGAAAATATAGTGATTGTCTTCTTTATTTTCATGCTGCGCTCTCACTCTCCGTTTAGTTTCAAAAATTATTTGAAAAAGATCGGTTTTCATTTTTCTTTGGGATTTATTAGCATGTACAGTGGGATGTCTATAAATTGGGGTTATTAAAGTCTTGACTATATATTGTTTGAATGTTTTATATGAATTTTAATGATTCTAATGATGTCCATCAAAAAACCAAATTTTCTGACCCTCCTCCCTCCTCTGTCACAATGTGTCACAAATTTTTTTACCTCTTCCCTAAATGTTCGACGTCACAAGTGAACGAGCCCTAACCGATCCGGCTGATTCTCTTTAATATTGCCAGAGGTCCTGTAGGTTCGAGTGCTATCAGAAAGTGGAGGGATCGAATTCAAATTTTTGATTTAAAGTCGGATCCCAAGAAGATACCTATCGAGTCACAAGACCGAACCCCTTTATCTAACACGTTCGACAGATGCCTTACTTAAGTTTGGTTCAAGGCCCAGACATCCCAAACTTATCACAGACCTCCCATCATATCCAACCCCAACTGTACATATTTTTCTAATAATAAATGTACATTTTGCAGATATCATCATTTTAATAAATTTATTGAACTCCATTATCTATCCACAAAAAAATGATAAATTATCAATTCATGACGCGCCTTATGAAGCAGAATATTAAAATCATCATTCATTAATAAATCAAAGTTGAGAATGAAGGAATGAAGAACGCAGTCAATATTGAGTAACTACTTTGCATTATTATAAAGTTCTTACAATTGATGACGATAATGATGATGAAAATAAAACGTATAATAGTAATAATTTAATCAGCATTTACAAATCACATAAATCATGAATTTCGCTTCATTTCACGCTATCGCACTCTCATCTCATCGTAACGTACATAAACTCATCAATCGCCCGTTGCCTGACGTTTTGCTGTGTTATTTTACGTTAATGATTTTCAATTTATTATGCTGTATCTTGACTCTCTTCTCATGTCTATCGAGTGGAGTTGGATTAGGGGTTATATTGAGTCTGGGAATGTTGTGATTATTTGAAGCATTCAGAGGAAGTGTTGGGTTATTTTAAGACATAACCTCGACCGTTTTATTCGTAGAATTTGTATTCAGTTGATTGAAGGATCAAAGCTTAACCAACTTCAATTGAATAAATTAATTCACTAGAGTTTAAAGGAGAATTTGTCACTAGTACGTGGTTACTACCATAGAACCGAAATTCAGTGTCAATATCTATAGCAGTGGTGTCAAACCTTTTTTGCACACTTGGTGATAAGTCATGACTAAAACAGTACACAACACTACACAACACTGCACAACACTACACAACACTACACAACACTACACAACACTACACAACACTACACAACACTACACAACACTACACAACACTACACAACACTACACAACACTACACAGCACTACACAACACTACACAACACTACACAACACTACACAACACTACACAACACTACACAACACTACACAACACTACACAACACTACACAACACTACACAACACTACACAACACTACACAACACTACACAACACTACACAACACTACACAACACTACACAACACTACACAACACTACACAACACTACACAAACAGTTTGTAGGATATTCCAATTTTTTATAGCACACTACTGTACCGCGGCACATGGGTTGACCATCACCGTTTTTAAGTATAATACCTACCCTAGTACCAACAAATATGACCCTGAAAAAGCATGTCTTAGGTTCTTCTATCGGTACTATGTTGACTTCAAAACCTTAATTAACCTCAAAAATAATTTTATGATACTTTATTGATACTTTAAAAAAGATTTCATTAGAAAAAAGAGTTAACTGGACACTGATGTCGATCAAAAGCAACAAGTAACCCATATTGATGTCCAAAATTAAATCACACAAATCAACCCGAGCACATATAACAATTACCATTCAAAGTATCATGTCTACTGAACCTCTATATCAATCAATTACTTTCTTACTTGCCATAATTTGCCTTCACACTAAACAGGAAAAATAGCAGCAATTGGTAAATGAGTGAGAAGAATAAGAGTGAGGCAGTTAAAAAAATGGCTGAATGAAATAAATATCTCAACTCATTTATCACAAACAATTTATTATAATAAATCTCACTCATTCTGCTCTGTTTTGCTTTATTTCTCTTCACTGCCTTTTCATTATTAATATTACAATTTATGTTGTGTATATACATATAGATGTAGGTTTTTATGCTGTTAATAAATTTATTATATATTTTTGTCGGTGTGTATAACTTTTGCCATAGCGCTGACTGCGACTGTATATATTGGATTTTGTGAAACAACACAGCAGAGCTAGTATGGATGGGTGAATGAGAAGAGAAAAATGATTAATTATTGTAATTTTCGTAATTTTTTTTTCCTCTTCATTCTCACCGACGAGGGAAACAAAAATATGGGAATAAAAAATTAGGCTCGGTAAATGAGCGATTCATTTTTTTTTTATTTTTTTATTATAGCGAAATTTATCATATTGTAGACTTAAATTGTAAAGATATAAAAACAGACATTATGTTTTTTTTTTTAATTTTTAATATTTTTAAATTAACATTTAATAAAATTTAAGAGTTTTGATTTAGAAAATGTCATTAATGCCCCCCCCTTCCCCCCCCCCCCCCCCCCCAATAGTAATTTATTATTTTTTGAACAATTTGAAATTTTGACATATAAAGCTACTTATTAATTTTGAATTTTATGTTCAACAAAGCTATTGACGTCTTACTAGTTTGTAGACAACCTTAGCTTGCACAACTTAATTTTATTTCACTAGCTTCACATTCCCAGAATAAGCCTCAGTTCGAAACACTCATAATTAAAATTATTTTATTGACTCTGGGGAAGAACCTACAAATTGACTTCAATTTTAATCGGAATCATACAAAATGTTCTTTGATTTGATCATAAATGACGTTGAACTTTCCAGAATGGCATAAGTTGGTTTATTGATCTGAAATCCAGCGCCAAGCTGGCAAAACTCTGGCGTGGTTCTGGCTTCATTTAAAATCCTTCGACTTGTTCCAGGGGCGTAGCCAAAAATTTGAATAGGGGGACAAATATTTTTTTTGGTGGAAAAATGGATTCATAAAAACCCTAGCAAAATAAAGAAATTTCTGTTTACGTTGGGGGATTTGTCCCCCAAATCTCCCCCCCACCCCCCCTGGCTACGTGCCTGACTTGTGCCATTCGGGTTTTGGGGAGCAGTGGGTTCTGGAGTTTTTAAACGATTCAAAATTTTGTCACACGATTCGATGCATTTTCTGAGTAATGTCATTTATGAACAGCCCCATATATCTAGTTATTGTTATCTATGATTACAATAGCAATTATCACAAAAAAAAATTCTTAAATCATTTCTACGAAAAAATTATAAAATTTCAATAGCTCTAAACATGTATAAAATCAGTTTAAACTTCTTAATTATCATTCAGTCGTAAGAAAGTCTTCACCTTGAATTCAAATCTTACAAAAATCAAAATGGAACTAAAAGTTTATGTTCTTATTTTAATAGTTCTACTAAGTTTAATTCAAACTGCATTTTCTGTTTGCAACTATAGAACTGACAATTTTTATGGATACATGTGTGACTTTAAAATTCACAATCCAAATGGACAGAACAACTTTACAGACATTGTTGGATGGCATTCATGGTTTAGAGGTGATGGAAATGTTCAAGCCACAATTGTTATGTCAGGTTCTTACTCAATAAACTTTCCCGCTGTAATTTGCAATAAATTTTACAATAACATCTGGATTAACTTAAGTTCAATCGGAATTAAGTTTATTGATTACTTCGCTCTTAGAAGCTGCAAAAATCTTCAATATTTGGACTTAGACAACAACAAAATCACCGATATCAATGAAATGTCATTCATCTATAACTTGGATATGCGGACATTGCTTTTATACTCCAATCAGCTATCGACATTGCCGGAAAGTGTTTTTGGAAAACTTAAAAAATTGACTACATTAAAGCTTAACAATAACAAGCTAACACAGCTACCACAAAATATTTTCAATGAAACAAAAGCATTAAAAGATTTGAACCTAGACGACAATTTGATAGAGTCTCTGCCATCAAACATCTTCAAATCACTGAATAATTTACAAGTTCTAAGGATGAGCAACAATAAAATCACAAGTATCTTGCCTGACTGGTTCAAGACATTGGGAAATTTACTCACATTGTACTTGGAAGGCAATAAAATTGAGCAACTTCCGGTGAATGCTTTTAATTCGTTGAAAAAAGTAACAAAAATCAGCTTGATTCGCAACAACCTTAAAATCATTCACTCTGATTCTTTTGGAATTCTACCGAGTCTTACTCACATCTACCTTCAAAATAATGTAATTAATGGATTTTACGAAAAGATTATTGATAATACTAAGGTTCATACTTTGGATATGTTTAATAATTTGTGTGCCAATGTTAACATTTTTGATAATTCAACTGATAAAGAATCTATGCGGACTACAATGGGGAAGTGCTTTGACAATTATGAAATTACTGTTTTTGGTAAGTTTGATGGCTTAATGCAGTAGAATTTGGACTTGGTTTCATGATGATTTTTATAGAATATAACCTTTGAATGTAAAAGTAAGACTTATTTGATGATATTTGATTGACAGGATGCATTAGTGGAAATTTAGACGCAAGAATGTGCAAACTTGAAGGTGAAAACGAGAAGACTCTCGCTTCTTTCCAGAAAATTGACAATCAAACCAATCAAATTGTATCCCAAGCTGATCAACTAATCAAAGAAATCAAAACATTAAAACTAGACACTCAAGGATTGCATTTATCAGTTGAAAAACTTACTATTGACCAGAAAGTTCTTAGCAAAAATTTCACTTCTTTTAGTACAGAAAATCAAAAACATCGCGATACCTTTGAAGCAAAAATGGAAGCTTTCATGCTAGAAAGTTCAGACAAAAGTATTTTAATGGCTGAAAACCAAGAAGAAATTGAAAAACTTCACGCATTGATTAATGAGTTGAAAGTGTTTGTCAACAATCAATCGTCTGGCTACGAAGAACTTCACAATCAAGTCCTTGATTTGATGGCTCGTCCTTGTGAATGTCATCAATTAAATTAAATTATTAATTCACTACAAACTATTTAATATCTCCATTTCTTCAATTTGCTAGGATTTTTTGAGAACCCCCCCTCTTTTAATTTTCAATAGAATAAATTTTTAACCCTATCCCAAAATTTCACAAGAATCATTATTAAATTACAGCTCATATTTCAAGAATTCCAGAGAATAAAATAGTTCAGTAATAATTCACATCTTACATATTTGTGTTTAAATACATATGAACTATATTATGTAGGATCAAGCTTCTAATCATAAAATCTAGGTTTTTAATATAAACAGGCTCTCGTTTCAATCTTCTGTCGCAGTGACGTGATACTTTTCAGTTCAAAGGTAGACACAAAGTCAAGTGTAACACAAAGTCGACTACAGCAAGACATCAACTGATTGCACATTTGCACTTGAAATTGATTCTTGGAAGCATCAGAAAACTTATATTAAAGATAGTTATCAAAGCTTCCGACAACCCTAGACTTGAAGTAGTTAACGTCATAATTAAAAGTGTTAATTCAAATGATTTTATCAATTTATATTGATAAAAAAAATTATATAAAATTAAACTAAATTTCGAATCAATATTCCAGTCAGTAAAGTGCATCCAGAGAAGTTTCAAGTTCATACCTAAAATGAAGACGGGAATAAAAGTGTCAGTTTTTATATTTTTGACTACTGTTTGTGGAATTTATAGTCAATTAAGTTGTACTTACTATGATAAGCAATATTATGGCTATGCCTGCAATTTGACAATTACCAATCCAACTGGACTTAATAATTTCAAGAGAATCAGTGGACGACATTTGTCTGGAAAGACTAACAACGATGTAAAGTACATAACTTCCAATTCTGCATCTTTTACTACAATTGTTCCATCGTTTATCTGCAAAACGTTCAAAAATTTAACAAGCATTGAGCTAAGATCAATGGGAATCCAACACGTCGATGAAAATGCATTTAAAGATTGTCATGAGCTTCAAGCTTTGGATTTATATAACAACAAAATTTCCAGAATTGATGAAAAAGCTTTCGAAAATAATCAAGGACTAGCAACTTTGTATCTTTATCAAAACCAACTGTCGGAATTGCCAGAAAATGTGTTTTTAAATCAACAAAATTTAATTACCTTGTGGCTTGATAACAACTACTTTACTTCCTTCCCAAAAAAGGAGTTTGCACCGTTGAAAAGTTTAAATAATTTAGATTTGCGTGGCAATCGAATCAGAAACATCACCGATGATTCATTTGAGAACCTTAAAAGTATTAAATATTTGTATTTACAATCCACACAAATTGAGGAACTTCCAAAAAATGTTTTTAGACATTTGAAAAGCTTATCAACACTTTCATTAAGCTACAATAAGTTGAAAGTTATTCATTCGTTAGGATTTTTACCAAATTTGACAGAAATTGAGCTTTCAGATAATCAACTTCAAGCTGTTGATGAAAAGCTTATTGACAATACCGGTGTGAATAGATTCTCTTTTGGTGGAAACTTGTGTGCAAACTTTGTTATCACTGATAACTCAGCTTCGAGAGCACTTTTGAGAAGTGGACTTCAAAATTGTTTTAATAAATATAATCAAGAATTTGCTTATGGTGAGTAGCCAGATTCCATGGGACCAGGACCAAGGGGGGCTTGAGGGATTTGTTTTGGAATCTGCCTTTAAGGTCCCTATTTTAGTAATTCTCCTTCTCCAGTTTTAATAGTCGAATCATTTAAATAATGATTTGTTTTATTCTTTAGAAACCACAACTCCTGATACAACAACTGAATCACCCTCAAACTCAGGATGCAACAGTACAAATTTAAACAAAAGGATCTGCAAGCTTGAAGATGACAATGACGGATTCAACAGTAAACTAGAAGACCTACAAAGCCAAATTCAATATTTAATTTCAACAACTGAAGATTTAGAAGCAGATGTTGAAAATTTGACAGAACAAAACCAAGAGCTAGCTGAAGAAATTGACAAAATTATTGGAGAAAAGCAAGATTTGGAAGAAAAATTTTCTGCTGCAATTGAGGAATTGCGTGATCAAGTTGAGGAACTTTTTTCTTTCATTAGCTCTCGTGGCGATATTTAATTTTTTTTTAAAAAAAATATTGTTTTACTAAAATTGTCGATGATTTTCTTATAATCTTATAAATGTAAATAGTTGAGTTATTTACTTTGTAGCTATGAAGTCGCGAAATAGACGTAAATAAAAAAGTCGTCGTTTACTTATGACGTCCGATATTAACAGCTATTTTTCAAAAAAGAACAATGGAATTCCGTGAATGTTCCGCCACGTAGTGATTTTTTGATCATTTTTCAATTGTGCCGCTCGGGTTCATATCATTTCTGCACAAAAGGTCTAATTAATTGAAGATTATAACAATAAAGTATGACAATCTAAATTAATAGGTCTTCTTCTTTTGCTTATTATCAAAATATATCAACAGCCTTTTTACAAAAGAAAATCAATCAAGTGCACTTCTATCGAAATAATTGTAAATTCATATCACAAATCCCTTAACAGAAAATAAAACAAAACAAAATAAGAATAAATTCCGTCCCTCATCGATCATTAATATCTCAAAACAGAACTCTCACTGCTGTTCAATCTACCTTAAAAGAAATTAAAATCTCCCCTCACTTCAGTTTTAATTTACAGTAAGTAACATGAAGAAAAAATTATTTCAATCTATCATTAATGAGCATAAATCTTGAAAAAATCAATCGGCATTCATCAAAGTTCCTTCTCTTTTCATCCTTCTCATTCCCCCATTTAATTTATTACAACGAGTGAATGAAAGAAATGAAGAAAAAAGAGCCATCAATCATAAAAGGAAGTCAAAGATCAACATTGATGGGAGAGATGAGAAGAATTTCTTCGTTCATCATTTACCAATTTTCCAATTATCATTCAATCAATTTGAGTCTGATCGACAATCGAATGCGAAGAGATTGAATGGAGAAAAATGGATTGTTCAATTTGTGGATGATCGTGGATATAAAGAATCTTAATAGAATGAAAATTGAATTAATTTAATTCATGAATTAAATTGTGAATGAGGTTTATATGCGGTAAAGAATAGAGAATTTCATGGACTGAATTGTGGAGTTTAAAGATTGATAAAAGCGCATTTTTGGGATCTGATGTGAGAAGAGCTGGTTTAGCTGTTTCAGATTAGTCTTTCAGGGTGATTTTTAGAGTATATTCTTGTATAGTAAGAGTACACAATAGGTTAGACACGAAAACTAGTCCTCAACAGTCTGTAGCTGTCTTTAGCAAAACATACTTTAATTAATTAAGTGGATTTACATGAGAATTCAGCTCAAAAGAAATGGTTAAGACTTAATCGGAGGTTCTAGACTCCAAGCTGTGTGGTTCAACTAATTTAAGATTATAGTGACGTCCTTAATTAAAGACGTGAGCCATGAAAGCCTAAGTAAAATCGAATAACAAGTACAAGCTTCCTTAAAAATTGTTTTTGTAGTTTTCGATATCTTTTTAAAATCGAACAATCTAAAATATTAATCAGCACATCACTAAGATCCCAAAAACTGCATAAATCACCAGCCAATGTAAGACTTGTCAAACCCTAACCCTAAAAAAATGCTGAAATCTTTATCTTCATACATCAAAATAATAAGAACTCCACCATCATCCCAATTGGACAACGACAAAAGAATCTAAAGCAACGATTCATTCATCTTGACAGCAATGAAGCTACCGTACATCGTTGTGTACTTGTGTCAGAGCAATCGATCGAATGATGATGAAAATTGTTTTATAAATAAAGTGCTTCGGATACTTAAGAAAGATGTGAAGAAGGAAATGAAGAAGAAAACAAGAGTCTTTTATTATCTGTGGCGTGGCGGCGTTGATGGATGTTGAGTTTGAGTGGCTCATTGATGTTCTCTATTTCTTCATCAACTTCAGACACAAGAAATAATATTGAGAATCGATTCATTTACTTCATCAATTTACAATTCAAAGACAAGCACATTGAGCACTCGAGTGATCGACATCATCATCATCATCATAGCTGTTCATGCTTGATTCTCTCAAGAGAGACAATGAAGTGTAGTTTTTTTCCTAGTCATGAGCAGTCACTTGAGGCTAACATATTCTAAAGTTGAAGAGATTCTTTTCAGTCATTTGGCTTTGCTTTCTGTTTATTCTTGAAGTTGTCGCTTAAGTTGATGTTGATGAGATGACTGTAAAAGGTTAAATAAAGCTGAATGGGGTCTATTGAGTTGTGAGAAATTAATAATGAAGTGGTGTGTGGTAGTAAATTGATAAGGGGAGAAATGATGGTAATTAAGTCATTAAAATAGATTGAAATAAAAATGAATTATATCACTTTGAGGTTAATAATGAGTCTATCCTAATGCATTGTGATGTCGGAGTAGAGTATAACAGAAGGTATCTAGCCATATATAGGCGAATCTACCATTGTGAGAGTGAGACCACAGTGGCGCGAGTGGCAACAGACTAAATATCTGTAATTCTCTATTGTGAGGACGTGAGTTTGATTCTCACCAAAAACTGATCTCTCTATCATTATATAGAGTGAGGTTGATCTGACAAGGGTTTTCACAATGCTCACAAAGTTACAGGCATGATATCAGTTAATAAATTTCAGCATATTTGTATTTTAGCGTGCATAGTAATATGGTTTGACCAAGGATTGACTCATGGAAAAAGACTGTTGATAGAGACAGTATAGCGCTTGGTATCGGCAATTGATAGATGGTAGCCAACGAAAGAGCTAGTTTTAGGGGACTTCTAAGGGAGGGCATGAATCATAATTGAGATCTTAGAGCTTCAATTGGGCAGTATGTCAAAAATAAATCAATTTAACTAAATCAAAAGCAGTTGACATTCATTTTATATAAAAAAAACAATTGCAAAAACTACCTCAAAACCATTAAACTTATAGAAATAAATCAAAAGAACGTAATGAGCTGCGTCAAATAAAATAAAGCAAATAAAGCTGCAAAGAAGAGAATCAAGAAAAATAGACGTGTTAATACATCATTAGCATTGTCGCATTTAAATCACTTCAAAGTCGACATATGAACAGCGAAAATACATTAGCTGTCAAATTGTATAAGTGAATGAAAGCAGATGTAAATTGAAATAAGAGAAAAAAATAAAGAATAAAGCATGCAAAGAAGACGACAAGCTGAAAAATAAAAATATAAATGATAGAAAAGAAGACAAGAATGAGCGACAATGAAATGATTAATGTTTCACTCTTCAATCGGCATCCAAATCTTTTCATTATAGACATATACATAAGAGCCATTGTTTAGTCTGTCTAGTCACAAGTGCGTTGAATCTTTACAGTAAATTTGAGCACGATTTTAATTTTCGAATCATAAAAGGGGTCGACGTAGACACAAAAATTATATACTTTTTTTGTTGTCAGTGCCGCCTACCACTTGACACTTTTCAGTTGCTGCCGTGTCGCTGTCGCTTCTTAATAATCGTTAAAATTTACTACAAAATTCTCACTCAACAAATATGACAAATTTCAAAAAGAAATGACAATTGAACATGACGATGATTTGGGCGGTTCCAGTGGATTTCATTTTAATTTATTTTATGTGATTTCCGTTCTGAAAAGTCACGTTTGAATAATTTCTTTTCTGAGTGAGCAAGCTAGAGAATGTTAAATTAATTTTAAGACTCATTAAGTAGTTCTTAAATGTCGTAAATCCTTCCTCTTTCTAATTTATTTTTGGTATGCTTGATTGATGACGATTTGATGTTTTTAGGAGGAAATTTAATTTTTTGTTTGTGAGATTTGGAGGTCTATTCATTGATTTTTAAGGATATTGCAATATACTGATGGTGACATGATCCAGGATTTAATTTGTTAAAACCTGCAAAAATGACTTATTTAAATTAGATGCAAGCTAGACAGGTTATCAGGAACTTTATTAATTAATAGCACTAGACGTGAAATACAAAAGATTGGTGGAATAACAGTGAAGCTAGGCACATTAATTAGGAACATTTTACTTTTTTAGATCACTAGCATCCTTATCCTAGCTCACTACCTTGCTTTCAAGGTTGAAGACACTAAACTCACAAAAAATGCCATAAGTCAATATTTAAGAATAGCCAGCAATTAAACATTTAATCATTCCCTCGTCTATGACACTCCACCCTTTAACAACCACAAACCTTCTAGATTAAAAGATAAACAACAAAAAATATTCCCGATATCAGAATCGAAATTGCGTGTCGATTAATCAACTTGAATATATTTTACTTTATCATTGAAATGAATAAACACGTCGAGTGAATTTTATGATTATCGATTGCATGTCAAATTAAATAATAAATTGAAAATGTGACAAGTTTAAATGTTGTACGGACAACTGCAAATGTTATTTATTGCTTCATTTGTCAATTTCTTTGATGACATTTTTCGTTTCATAGTGCTTGATGCAATTTTGTGTTGATTTTATGAAATTGATTGTGGGGCAGATAGAATGGAGGAGGTCGTCTGATTGAGTTTTCGAGGTTGATGAGGAATTGAAATTGATTTTAATATATTTTTATTTGGATTTTTAATAGAAGAAGTCTGCCATACCTTCATTTTAAGTTGTTATCAATCTTATCTCATGCCCATCTACAGGCCTTCCTCACTTATTGGTTTAGAATACACCCTTAACTAGGGAACCCCGAAATTTCATCAAACTAAGCACCTCAATTCATTAATCAAACTCAAACGCCTCAAAAAATAATCAACCAAAAAAGGAACAAAACAGGAGAGATTTATTTAACGGTTGTCGATAATCCTTTATAATGTGTTCGAATTATTAATTAACCGAGACTGAAGGAATCGATGAAAAATTAATCTTTCGGTGAGGAAGAAAAAAAAAATAAGAAATATTAAGAGTGATTGATGTTCAGGTTTCGAGTGAATAGGTTAGGGGTCTTAACAGAAAATTGAGTCGCTTTTGATGTGAATGTTTGTAAATATCACGTTAAGAACAATTGAAAAGCATGACATGGAATAAAATACTGAAGAATCATGAAACTCATCATCAATTCTTTCTGTTGTGTTAATGTTGAGGAAGAAGTTTTGGAAGGATTTGAGTATAAATGGACAAGAAGCGCAGGTTGGCAAATTAAATGTTTCAAAGGTTAAAACAGTCTTTAGACAATCTCTTAGCGCGGCAATGGGTTCACGTGCGTCCCAGCAAAGAAAGTAAGTATATTAAATATTTTAAAAATCATTTTAATTTTTTTTCTTCATAATTTTCAAA